CTAATAAGACAGGAAGATCTGTCTCTATCAAAGCGGAATATCTATCACTGTTTAAATATTTATCGAAGAAAACAAGACTTATAATTTCACTTCCAATAATACCACACTAAACATTGACTTTCCAAACGACTTGATGATCCGTTTCTCTCAGCCAGTGAGGATTAATTTGTGCCCAATAACGAGAGTTCCAAGTATTAACAGATCCATCACTTTTAAATGTACATTCGTCAGAAAATAAAATTTTCAAGTGGAAATCAGGTGGTTGCTGTCTTATCCAGTTGCAAAATGCAAGTCTCCGTCGAAAATCGTTATAATTCCACGCTTGATAACGGACATTCTATAAGGGTGAAATTTATTGTTTTTAAATGCGGCAGATAATGTCACGACTGACACCAGAATCTCATTCTCGGCGTCTTAAGGAATTATGAGGGTTCAATTCTGCCGATGTAAGAATTTCCGCTATTTTTTCATCCTTAATTGGACGACGGATCTATCTCTGTTATGTTCAGACTGAACGACACCTTTAATTTTCATTCGATTAGCTAAATGTGAAAAAACATTTCGCGAGTGAAGATTTCGATTAGAATAACGCTCTTGCCATAATCTTTCTGTTGCAGTGAATGTGCCTTGACATTCACCTAAAATTAGCAGCATATCATATGCTTCTTCATTGGAATAAGACATTGCTAGGTTTATCTAGGATAATCTATCTATCTTTCGCCACTACGTGGCTATTTCCTTTAGGTTTGGGTATAGGTCATTCTAGTATCCGTTCAAATCTTAGATATATGTCTCAGTACAATACTAGCCTTGTAGATCTTTGTTAATGGGTCTAGTAATTTCTAATAGTCTTTTTTGTAAGAGCATAGGATAAATGCTATCTAGCCCAAGTGGTTCCCAAGCAGCACGTAAACGTTCGAGGAACGTTCGCTTTACGTTCACTTGGTTTGGTTATATTTAAGCAAAGTAGGAACGTTCGAAGAACGTATTACAAGGTTTTAGAACCTTTAATATATATCTTACGTAGCGAAAGTGTCACAGTATGACAATTATGCTGCTCTGTTACATATTAATGTTGTTAATATATTAATACATTGCATGCGGGAAATATACTTTTACGTTTTTTGCAGTCTGTCGCTAGAACGCGAGTCACGTAAAAGTATGTATTTAGTAGATTTGTGCTGGAGAGCGTGTATCGTAGAAATACGATGGGCATTGTAAGTGTGTACGGTATTTGTGTTTGTGTTGCTAGGCAACGATTTCCATTGTTTCTTTTTAGAAGTTTAGTTTGTTGAGTTACTTGGTTTAATAGCTTCAGAACGTACAAGTCGTGTTTTGTAAATTTGAAACTTATTTCTTTTATTATTGATTACAACATTGATAAAACGAAATTTGGCTATTTCTAGTTGTTGTTATGAAAAAATATTTTTGAATAAATAGTAAAATTAAAAATTGTCTACTTTCCTTTCATTTTTAGTTCATTATTCTACATTTACTTATTCAAAAAAAATGTAGTTTTTTTTTAAATAATCGTAGAACATATATTTAACTGTAAAATAAAAAAAGTTTCGTTGAGAAAAACAAAGTAGTTATCGATTTATTGTGATTTTACTGAATACCAAACTCCCGTGAAATTCACGAAAAAACGCCCGCTACACGTGTAAGTCCGTGGCGAAATATATCCAAATGCAATGTGTTAATATATTAATATCTGTTAATATATTAATATATTAATATCTTTTAGCAATTAATATATTTTTTTAATAATTTGTTAAATAAATAGACATAATCAAACGTCAAGTATATATTTTAATTAAAAAATGGAATTGTAACAGAGCAGCATAATTGTGATACTGCGACACTTTTGCTACATAGGATATAAAGGTTCTAAAACGTATGTTCTTCGAACATTCCCACTTTATTTGAATATCACCAAACCAAGTGAACGTAAAACGAATATTCCTCGAACGTTTACGTGCTGCTTGGGCTATACCGATGAAATGTTGCGATATAAGCATGCTTCGTGGTATTAAATAAATATAAGTATTAAATCTTTGTCTTACTAAAATATGTGTGATGAGTCTATCTTATACTAAAACTGAATAACTAAATATAACTAATATAAAAAATAATGGAGTAATTATAAATTCAGATAACAATATTTTAAATAAGTAAATTATTAGATAACAACATACCTTGCGTAGGGGCCTTCGCTATTTTTCACTGTTTTCATTTTAGTATAAAATAGACTCATCGCACACACTTTAGTAAAACGAAAATTTAATACTTATATTTATTTAATACCATGATTTAATACCATGAAGCATGCCTATATCGCAATATTTCGTTGACGTGGCTAAACTAATTACCGATTTTTCAGATGTACGTTGAGAAAGAAAAAGGATTATCTTTGATAAAAATTAATAAATTTTCAATCCCGGTATGATCCGTGTAACGTCCCGTGTAAAATCCGAAGCTCTAGACGCACTGGATTGGTGGAGAGCTTCAATAAATGCGCCAATGATTGTGTTTCGTTATAATTTATTTTCCCCTATATCGCTTTAACAGGAAATTGCCTTAAGATACATCTCTTTTAACAGACGCTAGATTTAATAATCATTCTAGGAAGCTTCATGATTGCTGTAAAACATATTGTTACGCTCGCGCGGGGAAAATAAGACGAGACAATGTTAAAAAAGAAAACAACTTCAACTATATTTGCTATTTACAAGGAAGCACACGTAACTCGCAGGCTCAAGCTCTCTCTTTCGTTAAAGACCGTCGCGCACGTCACGACGACTCAACCGCCCCAGAGAGAATCTCTCTAACCCGTTGTTTATCCGTCAACGTTGATCATCTGTTGTTTATGACTCGTTGCCAAGAGAATCAGCTGTATGTTCAGGGTGCTAAAAGCGCGGGCATCAAGACACGGGCGTAACAATATAATAACATAAATCAATCACGAGTATTATTATCTTAACCAAACTAGTGCACTTTTTAACCCATCAGTTCCCAATACACCCTCCAGGTGGCACAATATTTTTGACTTATAAACCATCGAAATAACACTGCTAACCTATAACATAGCTCTAAGTGTTGAGTTTAGATACTAGTGACTCTAAAACAAGTTGTCAACACCGAATTAAAGCGAAAAAAATAAAATAAATAAATAAATAAATAAATTCTCAAAACCTATAAATTTGGTTTCCTTAGGTTCTAAAACATGAGATTTCCTAAGAGGAAACAGAAATTTGTGGTTTCAATTCATTTGGGAACTGACGGGTTAAACTTGCCGATGGAACCATAAAAGTTCATCATATTTTCATAAATTATAATCAACAGAATCATAAAGACTCCTCATGCTCTTATGAATTGTAATAATTGTTAATGCGAGAGCAAACTCGAACTCAAGGAGAGCGCAAACTATCAACGAATGCCTTTATCGTATATGATAACTAAAGCGGTATAATCTAATTGTCAATGCGTCGAGTGAAAGATAACGAAATTATAAACATTACGCCTCGGAACCCCTTTGAGGCTCCGATCGCCCAAAACCCTTTTTCCTGTTCGACTCGGGTGGGTCAGAAAGTCTCGCTTTGTCTTTTTCCGAAGCAGCAGTCTGCGTCAGATCATCGTATAACTTAGGCTTCTTCGTGAGTAATTTGTGAAATCGCAGTCTCCAGTCTTAAGAAAAAAAATTAATAAATTGCCTTAACTGAGCGTTGCGCCGTTTCTCGTTCATCATTGTGTAAGTTTACTGTTTTTACAAAATATTACTTGTTGTTTGAGCATCGGAATCGTTAACGAATAGCGTTTTATCTTTTTTTATATAATCTTATATCTATTCATCATATATGTTTAGTTAATATCGTGTATATACACGAGAATACACATATATACATATATACTTTTATTATATTATGAATATACATATTGACGCATATATTTCCATTATAATTTTTTAATAACTATAATAAACGTATGCTTATATTTATACAAACTTGGTCGTGTCTTCATTGTTCTTTGCTTAATTCTTCGCTACATTCGTATTTCTATCCTAACGCAGAGCTCTCATCCCAGGTAGCGCCGATGAATGCAGATGAATCTAAAACAAGAGAGCAAACGTAATTCCTAATGCCCTAGTGGAAACGGAGACGTTATATCCGACTAGAGCAACAGCAACAAACGGAAAAAGACCGAAAGCGGAATTGCATTGGCATAGAGGGAGCTGAATGGGTTCTGATTGACCACGTTATGATTGGACACAAATCGATTGGACACGTTCGATTGGACACCGTAATACAAACTGCATCTGCTACATTAACCCGTCAGTTCCCAATGCACCCTCCAGATGGCACAATATTTTTGACTTATAAACCATCGATATAACACTGCTAACCTATAACATAGCTCTAAGTGTTCAGTTTAGATACTAGTGACTTTAAAACAAGTTGTCAACATTGAATAAAAGCGAAAAAAAAATAAATAAATTCTCAAAACTTATAAATTTGGTTTCCTTAGGTTCCAAAACATGAGATTTCCTAAGAGGAAACAGAAATTTGTGGTTTCAATTCATTTGGAAACTGATGGGTTAAAAGTGTCAACCGTAATCGTCTATTTTGATCTATTCTCAATTATCTAGTCTTAATTACGGTACTTGTGAAGGAAAGGGACTTCCTCACCGATTTGGCTGAAACTTTGTAATATTATGTATTTTAGTGCGTAAAATAGGAATATAAAAGTAAAAGTCGTTGCTCTCAATTAGAAGAAAAATTATAAAATGTTAAAGGACCACTGTTGTAAAGTTAGGAAATGCGTCATACCGATGGCATAGAGAGATATGAGAACCTGTATTGATCAAAATGCAACTGCATGAATTTTGATAGTTACTCACGATAAAGAAAAATTAATAAATTATTTAATAGAAAAAAATTGAAATTAATGAAATCTGTCGTTTTAAGTTCAATAATAAATTAATACTTAAAAATATTTTTTTATTTTGTTGAAAAAATATATATAAAAAAACACAGATAAGAAAGATATTTACATTTATAAATATATATTTAACTTAAATCTTTCGCTTTACTAAATTGACGATTTATCTATTGAAATATTCTCTGAAGCTTTTTAATTCCGATCCTCTTGATTCCCTGGAGAACATGTTCGAAATTAGATTTTTCCCTTTTTCGGTGGATTTCAAGACAGGTCGCGGAGCTGTTGTTCGGCTACACTCTAAGATCATTCGTTCTTTCCTATTACTGTTAAGGATGGCGTTCAATACATCTATTTCTTTACGCTTAAAAATGTTCATTTTCATGCCAATAAGATTTTTGATGATTTGATTGTTACCTATAAAAATTTTTATTTGATCTATACCGATGGATCTAAAACTAATTCAGATTCTGCCAGATATTCTTGTTTTTTTGAATTTAATAATTCTTACATTGTTAAGAATGTCAATCTCTGTTTAATTATCGACATTGAAGCCTTTGCATTATTATCTACCTTTGAGCTACTGAAAGGACATCTTCCGGATGTGCTATTATATCGAATTCTAGAAGTGTTCACCTTTTCCGTCATACACCCATAGAGGTATTATAGATAGAGGAGGGGAGTCGACTGAAAAGGCGTCGGCTGAATAGAAAGAGAAAGAAGGTGAATTTGACCTCTTCTCTCTCTCTCGCACATTCTTCTGATTGGCTGCGGCGACACCGCATATACGAGTAACATAATGTATAAAGTGTAAAAAATGTACAATAATTATACTATGTATGAGAAAAAATCTAATTTTCATGATCATATGTATGTAATGCTTATAATTATACTGTAAAGGAAAGGTGAGCAATGTTCGATAATACAGTTTATCGTGTCTTCCACAGCTGGTATAAAAAGAAATTTAAAAAACCTTCATGAATTCTGCAGCAGACTTAATTTCTTTGTTTAAACTTGATATCATCTCCCGTAAATTAAGTATTTTTTTCTCGACTCTTGATTTTTTTTTTTGGAGAGCTTCAATATGATGTTCTTGGCAGACTTTATAACTCAAAAATCGCTGCCACGCTTCGTTTGATATAAAGTCTTTTCTGCACAAATATTTTGTCACATATCCATCCATGAATCTTATTTTTGTTTTTGAACATTCTAAGCTCGAACTGTCTTTCAATCTTTTTTTTTCACAGGAATGTCTTCAATAACATCATTTGCTGAACGTTTTCTAAAAAAATTAATACATAAATGAGTTAAAATTTCATAAATACGTCAAATTTTACATTAAATAAACATCAAAGTATTGTTACCTATTACTGTCTTGGTCTTCAACATCAGCGTGTGAAGATATGGATGCATTTAAATCAGACACTGTTTCTTTGATTTGTTCAACTTCTTTGTGTACCATCAACAATGAAGAAGAATCGAGTTCAGTTCCAATTTCTTTTAGATTTTCCTCAACTTGCATATTTACACACTCAGACTTTTCTAAGTTTAAGTTGGTCCTTGTATTACAAATTGTTGTGTTATTCTCCACTTTAATATTTGTTTTGATGGAATCCACTGACTTGTTCACAGGAATAGTACCTGGCACCAATCGTCTGACTCTTGTATAGCCATCTGTTTGATGAAATGCGTCATCATTAAAATGATCATTACATATTGTAGCACTTTTTGTGATGGATAAAAGTCCAAATACAGACATCCATTTTTGTCTTTGTATATTGTCACTTGGAAACCTGGATTTTGTGAAATAATTGTATAGTTGATAAACAGAAACACAACCAAAATTTTCTCAAACAATATTAATGTCAGATTTAATTTATGTTGTACGTACTTGTGAAAACTAGTAGAGTTACCAGGAATGTGGAACTTCTTGCAAACTATGCAAGTTATAGGCATCCTGCATGTGTATTATTGAACTTTTATTTTAAAATGTATGATACTAACGTGTAGTTAGTATTACCGCTTTGCCCCTTAAAGCTACTGTCTGCTGTCTGCTTTGTTTTTCTTGTTGCACTTATCCCTCTCCCGCCTACTTAACACTTTCACAACCGCATGTTAGCGCAGTGAAACGTCGCCGGCAATATTTTGGAAGAAAAAACTTTACGTAAATTCATGAAACAATTAACATTATTATGACGTGCTAAGAAAAGTTTTGCAAGTGGCTTGCCACTGGTACCACGTGGGAGTCACCGGCAAATAGCGACTGGCCTATCAATGGTACCACGTGAGTGTCACCGGCAAATAACGACTGGCCTACCAATGACACCACATGAGTGTCACCGGCATACAACGACTGGCCTGCCCATGACACCACATTGGTGTCAGCGGTTGTGAAAGTGTTAAGGTGGAAGTATATCTATATATGCGGCGTCGCCGCAGCCAATCAGAAGAGTGTGCGAGAGAGAGAAGAGGTCAAATTCACCTTCTTTCTCTTTCTATTCAACCGACGCTTCCACTTACACGAGCCCGTATAGTTCACCCCCTCTATCTATAATATCTCTATGCATACACCCGATTATAAAGGAAATAAGCATCCTATTGTTTATCGTCTGAAGAGGACTTTAAATGAAATGCGACAGGCGGATTTTAATATCTTATTTATTTGATCTCCAGGGCATATCGGATTATAAGTCAACGATATCGTTGATTTTCTGCTGCTCACTCCAAGGAACAAGCGTCTGAAGACAAATACTTTGCTTTTAATATTTTCTTTAAATTTAAATTAGAAAGTTCTGAGAAATCATGTAATTTTCTTTTTGAACAAAGAATGCACAAAGTTACAGGTATTTTAATAGAACTGAGCGAAAATTGAATAAACCATGGTTCTATGATGCTAAGAGACGAGATTCGTTTTTACAGTTATTAATCGCATCCGATCCCACTTATGAGAACTAGCATCTTTTTGATGTTAGCATTGTAGATAGCTCCACCTGTGACTGTGGTCATGTTGCGCAAACTACGCAACATGTTATTTTTCAATGTCCACATCTAATGAATCTGATAGATTAATTTTGGAATTGGCTAAGTTGAATCTACCTCCAAGAATTGAAGACATAGCTTTCTCGGAATTTTATCACCTTTACTTTATTGGACAAATTTATTTTAGCCAATCGTATTGCTTTGTAATTCACTGAATCATCGCTAAGTCTGACACAAGGGGTGTATTCTTTTATTTGCAACAGATGCAGCCCGTTGCATCTGATGCATAATTTAACTATTCTTTATATTTATTTGCACATAGCAAATGCGGGCTGCGATAATTTTGACCGTTTTTTAATTAAAGTTGTAAGCAGAACTGTTCAATTTGTCTACTTTTTTAGCATCTCAATCTCAATGACTGTCGACAGATTGAAACCTGATTGGATGCAAAAACCTTAAGTACGAACACGACTTCTTCAATGTGCTGAAAATAGCGTGTTTGATGCAGCTTTGTATTGGAGACTTTTAGGATGAAATTACACGGTGAGTAATAGAACTGCGGAATAAAGAATGCGTCATAGAAGCAACCAATCAGCACACAAAATTTGCCTGATAGAAAAGAGCGGAGTAGCACTAATTGGTTGCTTCTAAAACGCATTCTTTATTCCGTAGTTCTATTAAGCCCATACCAGACTATGAATTGGGGATTGAGATTTAATTTAGCCAATCAGTATAAAGTGAACTGAATTCAAGTTTAGTGAAATTTAGTGAACTTGCACTGATTGGTCAAATTTCAATTCAATCTGCTTTATGCACTGTGTGCACCAGTTCAGCTAAAAAGAACAGACCAAGAGAGAGATTGCTTTACTTATGGACATAACCTTGTTTAACTACGGCATTAGTGGTATTGTGTTATTGTAAATGTTTAAACTTTTTCGATAAATTTAGTGGTTCTTGTAATAGAAATCACACAAAAGTTTAAAGTTTAAGTATATGTGTGTATACCGCACATATACTCTATCGTATCTATATTATAATCATTTTCCTATTGTCATTTTTAACGTTTAATTATTTTTATTACATTGGCGAATTTTATAATTTTTCAATCTTTATTATTTCTTAGCATTGTATAGAAGCATATTTTCAATAAACTCTATGATACTTACCAAGCTCAGTCAAAAATATTTACCACAATATATTTTAATAAGTTTTAAATTCTAACAAGTATTATTTACGCAGTACAAGGAATTAAAAATACTATCTATTTCACAACCAATTACTTCAAAAAATAAATTTTAATTAATATCATCAGGATTGTATTACTAATTTGACGAGTGTCAGTCAGACTTTTAACGACTTATAATTGATTTAAAATGGCTATGAAAGAAAAACAAACAGAAACCTCATTTGATGAAATAGAATGGAATGTGGATAATGAAATTCAACTTTTCTTTGCTATGAATGGACATAAGCCAGTTGGTAAGATGTGGGAAACAGTATGGAATAGTTTAATATTGTATTTATTATCCTAATATTTGGCAAATATTTATATCCTATAATTATAATTCACTGGATTTCTAAGGTNAATAGAATGGAATGTGGATAATGAAATTCAACTTTTCTTTGCTATGAATGGACATAAGCCAGTTGGTAAGATGTGGGAAACAGTATGGAATAGTTTAATATTGTATTTATTATCCTAATATTTGGCAAATATTTATATCCTATAATTATAATTCACTGGATTTCTAAGGTATCAATAAATATTTTCACATGTTGTGTATATGGGAAAAATTTCGCATTGCCATCCATAA